TGGGGGGATGAACCACATTACTATTATCATGCTTTAAAACCTTTGCCAAGAATTTTTTAATACACAGATTCCAATATAGCGGAAAAGGAGGGGGGTGCCTCTCAGTTGCATCAGTCTCTTGTCAAGAGAACTTGGGCAAACTGTTGAATTTCTCATCAGGCAACCAGGGTAGCATGTGCCTTAGGGTGCGTGTGCCCCAGCTACCGAGCCCACGTGCTACAACTACTGAAGCCCACAGTCTAGAGCCTGTGCTCCACAATAAGAGAAGTCACGACAATGAGAAGCCTGCACACCACAACTAGAGAGTGGCCCTCACTTATTGAAACTGGAGAAAGCCCTCATGCAACAATGAAAACCAAGCACAGCCATAAGTAAATTTTTCAAGAAAAGAAAGCAGGGTAGCAAACTGAAGTCCTTAGGTCACTGGGAATATTGGTGACAGTGTGTATTAAACCTGCAACTTTGGAGTCCCTCAAAATATATTAATATGACTATGTACATATGTAGAAAACAAACTTGTGCTTCAGTTAAGTTCAGTTGCTCAGTCGTGTCCAACTCTTTGCAACCCCATGGACTGCAGCATGCTAGGCTTCCCCATCCATCACCAACTCCCAATGCTCACTCAAACTCATGTCCATAGAGTCAGTGATGCCATCCAACCATCTCATCCTCTGTCGTCTCTTTATCCTCCTGCCTTCAATCTTTCCCAGCATCAGGGTTTTTTCAAATGAGTCAGTTCTTCATGTACGGTGGCCAAAGTATTTGAGTTTCAACTTCAGCATCCATCCTTCCAATGAACATTTAGGACTGATTTCCTTTAGGATGAACTGGTTGGATCTCCTTGCAGTCCAAGGGACTCAAGAGTCTTCTCCAACACCACAGTTCAAAAGCATCAATTCTTCCTCACTCAGCTTTCTTTATAGCCAACTCTCACATCCATACATGACTACTGGAAAAACCATAGCTTTGACTAGATGGACATTTGTTGGCAAAGTAATGTCTCTGCTTTTTAATATGCTATCTAGGCTGGTCATCACTTTCCTGCCAAGGAGTAAGCGTCTTTTAATTTCATGGTTGCAGTCACCATCTGCAGTGATTTTGGAGCCCCCCAAAATAAATGTTCTCACTATTTCCATTGTTTCCCCATCTATTTGTCATGAAGTGATGGGACCAGATGTCATGATCTTAGTTTTCTGAATGCTGAGTTTTAAGCCAACTTTTCA